AATCTTTGGAATTATAAATAGACCAGTGTTGATTTGTTACCGCAATAATTCTTGAATTTTCAGATCCCAAACCGTTTTACTTCGACACTAATGGACCGAAACATTTCTTATCCTCTTTAATAATTCTTTACACCTTTCATCGTTTTTTGCTCACATTTTCTCTTTAACCCTAAATTATCATGTGTTCTGAGAAATTTTCTAGCTCGTTGTTCAGTAAAGGCCACGGATTCGTGGCTGGAACTAGCATTTTTATGCATTATGCAACTGCAGAGGGATTGGTTTTCAAACTGGGAAATTCGAAATAACGAGTAGCGCCCAAATTACACAGGGAGTGCTAGCATCTTCTGAGTCAAAACCCTCGCAGATTTCTCCCTCTTTACAAAAGATGAAGACTTTTGGAAGTAATTCAGGTAGCGGTGGTAATCCGCCAATAGCAGTCACATCTTCTGACGGTCGCATACAAGTAGTTGGTGAACGTTCAAAAAACAAAATCAAAGAATCGTAAAGGAACGAAGTTTCAGAGCTATCCAGTACCGGTGCGGCCCTTACTGGTTCCAAATTCCTTTCGCCCACAGAGCTAAAACCGTCCGTGGGTTTTTTACTTACTTTCCCGATAGAAAAGTCGGATGATACTCACGTTCAGAGCCCGAAAGTACCACTTTTTGTTAGCACAACATATCCGCTGGCACCTATTTTTTATGCGTTTTTTGCAGCTATGCAATGCAGAAAACGCATATTGACGAGAGGTTGTCTGTGTGTCCGTCTGTACCAATTTTTCATCTCGAGACCGGCAAAAGCTACGGGGCTGAAACTTGGGGGGTACAATCTACATGCACGTACGGGCCCCCACCCGCAAAATTGGCGCCAAAACCCGCGTGGTACCCGCGTACGGACCCCCCAAAGTTTTTTTGGGATCAGTGTCTGAGAAGCTAGAAGGCTGAAATCTTGGGGTAATGTTCCCCGCCAAAGCGGCTATTAGTGGGCTCAAACCCAAGAAAGGTTGAAGTCTTGGGGTAATATTCCCCGCCCAAGCTGGTATTAGTAGGCTCAAACTCAGCCCCCGGGTAAGCATGGTACCCCCTACGAGGCCGCCAAAATTTTTTTCGGGCAAGTTCAAAACTCGGGGATCTGAGAAGCTAGAAGGCTGAAATTTTGGGGAAATGTTCCCCGCCCAAGCGGCTAT